CAAAAAAAATCAAAATCGCGTGCGAAGTCGCAGGGAACAGCTAGTTTAAAATATTTTTTTAAATTTCATCGTTCGCTATTTGAGTAGTATATTATACACTTGAACAATATTTGTCGCATATTAAACTTAATAAAATATTTAAAACATAATAAATATAACACGCTCATAAAATTATTGATATATTACATAGTTGCACTGCTTTTCTCACGTACACGTCTCCGAACATACGTGATGAAGATAATGTACATTGTAATTTTCTTTGCTTGAAAATTATTGACTTCTTTACCGATATGTAATATATTTAATATATGGTAGAGCCAACCTGGAAAGAACCACTCATAACATGCCAGTGGAAAATGTCACATAATGCTTTTGTATTTCATAAAGTGAGTGACAAAAAACGGACATCGATGACGAGCTTCTGCATTTTGATTCTTATTAATTGTAAAACTTTCCACAGCCACCTTATGATAGTCAGAAAGCAAATGCGGGTCCCAACTGGAGATCAGCTTCACATCGAGCGCTTCATGCAGCGCGCTTTATCAGTGGTAGAGCCACGCGGCAGCTTTGGCTGTCACATGGATGGGCCGGCTCGAACCGGGGTGGTACCACGACCTCACAGAAAATGTGACCACCAGTGAGTGCAGGTGGCCAGAGGCCCTTTTTACTGGAAATGTGGCATTCCATCTTAGTCCTCACGGGTGACAACGCATCTACATTTGGATTTGTAATAGAGGATAGATGTAGATGTCTATGGGCCGCATCAACCACTTACCATCAGGTGGACTGTGTGCTCGTTTGTCACTCTTATCATATAAAAAAATGCAGGATCTTTTGAGTTCTTAATGTGATATTTTTATCACACAACGATCTCTTTCTTATGAGGACGCAGAGAGATAACGGATACTCTTCTCTAATATGGCCATAGTTAGCATATCAGCATATAATTTTGATATTGATATAAATGTTACGTGTGTATGTTACGTGGTAGAGCCATGCTGCAGCTATATTAGTAGTATAGTTGTTGCACGAATGGGTCGGCTCGACCGGATAAAGACCACGCTCTCACAGAAAACCAGCGTAAAATAACAGCTTCATGCTGCTGTGTTTCGTATGGTGAGTGTAGAGAACCGGAGACCCTTTTTACTGGCAAAGAGGCATTCCATCTTAGTCCTCACGGGTGACAACGCATCTGCATCTTGAGTCTTCATTGAGGATAGATGTAGATGTCTATGGGTCACAGTAACCACTTACCATCAGGTGGACTGTGTGCTCGTTTGTCATCTTATCCTATAAAAAAAAATCTTTAAAATAAAAAGACCAGTTGCATCAGCTAAGAATAGCATGAAGAGCACTGAAAGTAAAGCATAGGTACATAGGTTTAGAAATATTACTTTACTAACAATTCGCCCCGACTACGCACGGGTAATTTCTGGAACTCGACACAGCCCTACCTATAGGAGCCAATTGTGAAACTAAACCATCCAGGGACCCACTCTACGCACAATAAAAAAAATATCAAAATTTGTCGAGCCTTTTTTGAGTTTTAGCGAGACTAACGGACAGCAATAACGCTCCATGGCGCAGCAGTTTGAATCCCGCACGGAATTTGTATAATGATGTACATTCATTCATGACAATCCATCAAAATTTAATCATGAGAGAGAATCATAATAATCATCAGGAAGATATGTTATGAGCTGCATATCCTCAGTAGCCTTAAGAGCCGCACGCGTTGCCACTATATGGCATTGTACAATATAACAAAATGTGTTGTGTAATGCAATACGATTACTTTAACGGTTAAGGGTAACACATTGCAAAACAAAAGAGGTTGTGGGTTCGAAACCGCAATTCGATTACTGCCGTGAGCAACTAACTACCCAAGCATTTTAGCATATTTGGATGGTGGTGTTCGCGTAAATATAAGAAATATTTATATTTGGATTCGTCTGGCAAACTCAAATTCAAATTTATTTATTGCCAGAATGTAGTACATAATATTATGATGTTGTTACTTATTAATGAGACCTTACATTCTACCATAATAATGGCGTGCAATATCTTTACTATATACAAAAAAAAAATATTATTATTACATTTTAACGAGGTAAAATATTTAGGAAAAATAGTTATGTAGTTGTTTAAAAATATTTTAGCGTCAAGTTTTTTAAGTTACAATAAATATATGTCAAAAATTGAATTAATTAGGTAATTGATTATATATAAATGCATAGTATCTAAAAAAAATGTCACAAGAAAATAAAATAAAATAAATATTAAAAGAATTAATAAGTTTTTCTATATTTCACCATTACTTTACATTTCTTTATAACTCATATATTCGTCTAACCTATAAAAACATTTTGTTGCCAGCCATTCTGTGAGTTTCCTTTTAAAAATTACGAAAGGGAGGTCTTTAAATAGTGTTAGGCAATTTATTGTAAGCTCTAATAGCATTTATAAATACATTTTTTTTATATATGTCAAGCTTGCATAGAGGCAGATGGAGCTTAAATTTATTTCTTGGCATGGCACTTGTTCGCGCCAAACACTTTCAAGGAACGAACGCGAGAGGGCGTGCGGCTCAGTGTCATACCGGTTTGACATTCGGTCGTGCGTAAAACGCCCAAGGGCAGTCAGTCGTCCATAAGCGGTGCTAACGATTGGCACGCTGTATTTTGTTAGGGAACTCGGAATAATTCGGCGCTGCCAGTAAATATACGGTCTATCATTGTGACGCGCATTCCTGCTGGAGAGCTTCCCAGGGACTCATTGTGTTTGACTCAGAATCTGCATAAGTGCATTAGGCAATATTAGCTAGTGCGGCCTCTAATATTCTAGAATTAACTGTTGCGACGCGAAACGGTAGTGACCTTTAATAAACTGTAAACTCCGTGTGCGTTTTGTGTGTTAACCTTATAACCAGCGATAGTTAGTGGCTTCTGTAAGTTAGTAAATCGTACGATAGAGTTCATTGACTGTCAACGTGACGAAAGAAGAAAGTGACTGTGGATAACCTCGAAAGGCTCCCTCAAGTTGGAACGGTGTCGACGCTCGGGCTGCTGCCGACGGCCAAGGTCTAGGTTCAGTCACCATCAGTCACACCCAGATACACACCACATCACCATTCTTTCCCTTGCACTACACAACCACATGCGACCTGACCGACTCCGGAGGGACCAGTCGCCTTGGATATAGGTAAGTAAGCTTCGTCCAAATTCCTTCCGGTCGACTGGCCGTAGTATAACGCTCCCCCATATATTCTAGTGTAATTAGAGAGATTCCACGTGGCCACATTGAGGCCCGACTTACGTCTGTTCGGGAAGTCTTCAGCTAATGGGCCCCTGAGGATTGGATCCTTTAAGGGAGCAGCCGTAGGCCGTAACAGCACTTTTACTGATTAAACTTGAGTTAATGGTGAAATATTGTGGATGCTGTTTGACAAAAACACAAAGTTTCCGTATGTACATACAAACTAAAGGCAGTATCTGAAATTTGTGAAATAAAGGTTTACAACTATCTAAAGACCAAGCTCCACAAATAGCCCTTACACACTTTTTTTGAACACGAAAGGCCTTGCCAACCTCAACCGCGTTGCCCCACAACAAGAGACCGTATGAAAGCACCGAGGAGACATAGCCATGGTAAGCACTCAGTGCCGCTTCATTAGACTCTGTCAACCGCAGCTGTTTTATAGCATAAACAAATTTCTCCAGTTTATCGCATACGTACTCTACATGATTCTTCCAGTCACAGTGTCTGTCAACCATTAATCCTAAAAATTTAGTACAGTTGACTTCTTCAATTTTTGTACTATCGTAACAGATGTTAAGTTCAATAGGTGGAGTTCTAAAATCCCTAAGTTTTATCAACTTGGTTTTATTTAAGTTTATTTTTAAATTGTTACTTTTAAGCCATCTAAAGATTTTGTCGAGTGCAATAGATATTTCATTTTCATAGTTGTATCTATCCTTACACTTAATAATTACAGTAGTATCGTCCGCAAACAGAACAGTTTTGTGGTCAGTGACGTTTGGAAGATCATTAATATATATAAGAAATAAAAAGGGACCTAAGTGTGTGACACCGTATTTATTATTTTGCAACCGAGATCTGCTTGTAATTTTATTGTCCTTTTGAATTTTAGCAACCTCTACGCACTGTTCACGTCCAGTCAGATAACTCTCCAGTCAGTTATGTGCTTTTCCCCGGATTCCGTATTTTTCAAGCTTATATAGTAATAATTTATGGTCTACGAAATCGAAAGCTTTAGTCATATCAAGAATGATAGCACTTACCGGAGCCCTTTCATTAATGGCCTCCGTAATATATTTTATTAAATTAAAGCATGCTGGTGTTGTGTTACTATTCTTTCTAAACCTAAATTGCTCATGTTTAATAATTTTTTGATCTGTAACGTAGTCGTAAAGTCTTTTTATCATTACCTTTTCAAATATTTTAGATAAAACTGGTATTAAAGTGATTGGATGATAATTATTCATGTCGGTAGCCTCTCCCTTCTTATATAAGGGCTTAACGATTGATTTTTTTTAAATTTTAGGGAAAGTACCTTCCTCAAGCGACATGTTTGTAATGTAGCTCAAAGGTCCACATATGTACTTAGCACAGGCTTTGATTGTTTTTGTATTTATATTATCTAATCCTACTGAATTAGTATTATTAAGTCTTTTAATTACATTAATTATTTCAATTTCATCTGTCGGTTTTAAAAATATTGTGTTTAAATAATTGATATTCATAGTTTGAAACAGAAACAGAAACAGAAACAGAAACTTTTTTATTCAATATAGATTATAAATAATACTTATTGAAAGTCATTCTTTTGTTTGATTACCACTGGTTCGGAAAAAACCTCTGTCCTGGGAAGAACCAGCAAGAAACCCAGCGGGACTTTTTTTTTAAAATAACAGCTTACAATCATGATGTTACACAAATTAACAACACAACAAATTAGAAATAGCTTGGTAGCGATCACCTCATTTCCAGGGGTTATTATCATCCATAAATTCCTTAATATTATAATAACCCTTTTTATACAAACTTAGTTTAATAAAGTTTTTGAACTTTGAACAGGCCAAACTTTGTATATTTTCTGGAATTTTGTTGTAAAAGCGTATACATCGCCCCAAGAATGAATTACTGACTCGATGGAGTCGAGTAACTGGTACTACTAGCTTGTGTCTGTTCCTAGTATTTACAGAATGAATATCACTTATTTTTATAAAAATACTTTTATTTTTGTGTACGTACATTAAATTTTCATAAATGTATTGAGAGGCCAAAGTTAATATATTAATTTCCTTAAATTTTTGTCGCAGCGACTCTTTAGGCTTTAAATCATAAATTGCTCTTATGGCCCTCTTCTGCAAAACAAATATAATTTCAGTGTCAGCTGCGTGTCCCCATAGCAAAATACCATACGACATTATGCTATGGAAGTAGCTGAAGTAAACTAGTCTAGCTGTTTCAACACTGGTTAGACTTCTAATCTTTTTTACAGCATATGCTGCAGAACTAAGTCTGCTTGCTAGTTTTGATATATGGGGGCTCCATTGAAGCTTCGCGTCTAGTGTGATTCCAAGAAAAATGGTGGTATCTACAAGACTCAGTTTCTCCCCATTTAAAATTAAATTAGTATTTAATTGTTTGACATTTGGAGTCACGAATTTCATACATTTTGTTTTAGTGCCATTTAAATGCAAATTATTAACATCGAACCAATTTACTAATTTAGATATAGCATTATTTACTTCGTCATATTTTAGTAACTGTCGACTTAATTTGAAAATTAAAGAAGTGTCATCTGCAAATAATACTATATCATGGTTATCCCCTACTATGTAAGGTAAGTCATTAATGTATACAAGAAACAGAAAGGGGCCGAGAATTGAGCCTTGAGGCACGCCCATTTGTACCATCGATCCGGAAGAGCTCATATTGTTAATGACAACTTTTTGCGTTCTCTTACTTAAATATGAAATAATTAATTTAAGGGCATCACTTCTTACACCGTAGTGTTGAAGTTTCCTGATTAATGTTTCATGGTGAACACAATCGAAGGCCTTGGATAGGTCACAAAATATACCCAAAGCATCCTGTGAATTCTCCCATGCATTAAAGATATATTTAATAAGCTCAACACCGGCATCAGTTGTCGAGCGACCCCTTGTGAAACCAAATTGATTTTTATGAAGTAAATTATTTATATTAAAAAAATTTAACATTTGATCAAGAACAATTTTTTCAAAAATCTTACTAAGTGTTGGTAGTACAGAAATAGGTCTAAAATTGGCGGGGTCTAATGTACTACCAGATTTAAATAAAGGTATTACTTTACTATGCTTCATTAAATCAGGAAACACACCAGATTCGATACTAGTATTAAAAATAATAGCTAAATGAGGCGCGATTGTATCTATTATAGACGCAATAACTTTAACGGAAATCCCCCACAGATCCGCAGTTTTCTTAACATCAATAGTTTTAAAATATTTTACAATATCTTTTGATGTCACTTTATGAAATGTAAAATTCTTTGTACACACATTTACATTATGTTTAAGTAATGATTCGGCGACGGCAGGAGAAGAATTTAGTGACTTAGTGGTCAAGATCGGAATATCAGTAAAATATTTCTCAAAAACCATTGCTACGTCCTGATCTGATACAGTTAATTTGTTGTTAACACTTAACTGGTAATTTGAATTGCGAGAGTTGATCTTACCAGTTTCGCTATTAATTATACTCCATGTCATTTTAATTTTATTGGAAGCCGTCTTAATTTTGTTGCTCAAATGCAAAGACTTGGCTATGGAGCACACTCTTTTAAATATTTTTGAATATTTTTTTACATATTCCCTAAATTCGACGCTATGATTATATGACCTTTCATGGTAAAGATCATATAACCTATGCCTGCTCTTATGGACTCCTACTGTCGCCCATTCATTGAATGACTTCCGACTGTTCAAGGAGAATGTTTTAGAAGTAAAAGTATTATTAAATTCATTGCAAATAAGCTTAAATAATGTTCCATACAAAATATTAGGATCATTTTGGTATGAAAGTGATGGAAGTTTTTTCACTATGTTACTTCTAAATTTCTCCAAGCGACGTGCATTTACTGGAACAGACACAACTTTCTCATCTACTTGCTTTTTGTGAACATAAGGTAACGAAACTACTTGTCCACAGTGATCAGAACTTAATTTTTGAATTATACATTTATGCAACGGCTTCACATTTGTAAAAATGTTATCTATACATGTTGCACTAGATTGAGAAATACGCGTTGGCTCTATAAATAAATTAAAAAGACCATATGATTTAAACAATGATCTAAATTTAATATTGATGGAGGAAGCTTCTAGGAGATTGATATTAAAATCTCCACATATTACAACAGATTTATTCTGTTTATTAAGCTTAGCAAAAACTTCCTCCATAATGTTTTCAAAAGTATCATATGTACAACATGGGGGTCTGTAGACGCTCACAACAATGAGGTGCTCAAACTCAATACATGCCATTTCTACAGTTCGCTCAACAGAGAGGCTCACAATGTCTTTACGTTCTTTACATGATAATAATTTACTAGCTAATATTAAGGAGCCACCTCTTAAAACCGTATCTCTATTGAAAGAACTGACCACCTGGTGATTACTGAAGTTAAACATTAAATTATAAGATTTTAACCAATGTTCAGTAATACATAAGATATGAATATTGTTGCTATTTAAGAACAACTCAATTTCTAGCTCTTTGCCTATCATGCCTTGTATATTTTGATGCACCAGGTGTAAACAATTTTCATTATCTTTCTGTGGAGTCATACAATTAAAGATTTGTAAGCCACATTCTAAATTATTTAAGTTATTATAACTGCTAGAGATTACCTCTATTGTCTCATTTTCTAATTTAAATTACTTGGAACTGATTTATTGATGTCATCTATTTTAAAATTAAAATCATTTGTATTGGTCATGTCTGTATAAAAATTATTAAAAGCTTCACTAATGTCACTTGGTTCTGAATATATTTAGTTATTATTTAGAATAGTATCTATTTCGAAATTTACATTTATTTCACCAATATTCGCATTTATAACCTTCCAAACTGCTTTACATTTATTATTGTTTCTATCTATATACTTTTATTTTGTAATAGCAACGAAAAAAAATTGTATTTATATATAAAGTTTTTGAAAATATTGTTATATTTTTTATAATTTTTATAATTTTTCTTTTTGTTAGCACCTGTCCGTATGTATTTTAAGTATAGTTTTCTTTTTATTTCATTCATTTTCACAAGACTTTTTTAAATCCTTTTGTTAACCAAGAGTTTTTGCTAATTTTGTTAGTTTTTTTTTACTAGGATTACAGGAAAGCACAGATTAAAAAATAGTTCGAATAGTTGATGAAACTCTCGAAAAGCGTCATTTAAACATGATTGTTCGTAAACATCAGAAGAAGTGATTGCAGAAATGCAGCTTCAAAATTTATTAATATTATTTTCATTAAAATCTCGAGCTCGCTCTAACCACTTGATCAAATCTCGTTTTTTATTCGCCTTTATTGTAAGAGTTTGACCCGTCTCGTGGTCTAAGTAGTGGACCTCAGTTCGTATTTGCCTTATATTACTTGCAAATTGATCGATACATTTCGTTTGTCGAGTAGGTGACTTAATATGCATTTCCATATTAAATTTATCAGGTATTGACAGTTTTTATTAGGTCTTAGAGTGTTAAAGTTCCAATCTACACATAATATTATTTTTTTGGATCTATTACAAATTCTCAACAAAAGTTATTCCAGTTTGTCAATAAAAATTTGAGGATTACTACTTGGGGTTCTATATATTCATATTATGAAGACTTTTTTGTGACGTGAACTCTACACCAGCACCTTCAAAATTAAAATTGCATGCCAAATCACTAATAATGCCAAGGGTTTTGCATTCTATACTACTTTTAGCTAGGATACAAGAACCCCCTCTTTTAGAGTTACGGGAGTACGTTGAGACGACTCTATACCCTGGTTTTTTTTAGAAGCTGCTCCATGCCTTTTTTATTAACGTTTCAGTCAATAATAGGCAGTGTTAATAATAGGTCTTTACCTATGATAATGCCGTTCTGAAGTACTAGCCATTTCAAAACAAAATAATTTTTGTTCGGCTAAGCATTCTAAATAGAAATTAATTTTATTTTAAAATCATATAATTCTTTTTTCAAAATTAGTGACTTTTTTATTGATTAGCATTATGTTTTCATCGCATTTGAATCTCTTTTGTCATCATGGATACGTTAAAAATTCTAGTAATTATTGAATATGAGTACAGTCGTGGCAGCAACGTGGCACAAATGTAATGCAACATCAAAGACATTTACAGAGCGAATTGTACAATACAAACAAACGCACTACCTGTTATTGCTTTGCCTGCTTCCGTTCTGGAAATTTATAACTGAAATATGAACCCCGTAGTCATCAGAAAACTTTGGTCGACAACAACGAGTCAAAGGTGATTATGGAAGCTGACGATACTCAATCTACGACTGAATTAGCAGCAGCTTTCAACATTAGCATCAAAATATTATTGTTCCATTTGCATCAAATTGGCAAGTTAAGAAAGCTTGACAAATGAGTGCCCCAAGAACTCAATGATCGCCAGCATGATGTACGCGTTGAGACATGCCTTGCACTGCGCTACAGGCACACAAACGAAGGAATTTTGAACCGCATTTACCTGTGACGAAAAATGGGTTCTATTGCACAATAGCAAGTGCTGAACAAGTCGGTTGTATCCTGTTTTGGCATCTAAACAATGCCCTAAACTAAAACTGTGTCTGTAACTGTTGTTGTGGTGGTGGTGGTGTGATTCATCACAGCTTCTTACCAAACAGCATGAGCATTACTGCAGATGTGTACTGTGAAGAGCTGAACACAAAGATCTAGAAGTTCGCATGCCTGCAGCCAGCTTTGGCCAATCGTTCGTCCCTACTGCTTCTGCTGACAGCACGTGGCCTCATACTGCACAATAGATGGTCTCCAAGTTACAAGAGCTGGGTTTGGAAGCTCTCCGTCATCTGCTGTACTCGCCAGACCTTGCGCCTACAGACTTAAATTTTTTTCTAGAATTCGAATAACTTTTTAGCGGGAAAAAAATTCAATACCCGAGAGGCCCTACAAAATGCCTATGAAGAATTTGTTGCCTCGTGTCCAAATGATTTCTTCAAGAAGGGCAAGAATAAACTGCCACTGCGTTGGCAAAGAAGCATCGATTGCATGGGTGATTAATTTGACCAATAGAAATAAAAAAAATTCATGGGTAAAGACCTAATACGTACCGATCCGTGGCGCAGTGGCTTAGCAATGAGTTGTAGCGCTGGCGACCGCGGGTTCGAATCCCACACGGAGCAAGTATTTGTATGGCCTACAAATTATTGTTCCGGGTCTAGATGTTTGTCCTTGTGCAAGTTATTTTTGTAAACTGTCTCCACGATACAGGAGAAAGTCCTAGTGTGGGGATGAACTTTTTTTAAGCAAAAAAAAAAAGAAAAAGTATAATAACAAAAAAAAAAAGAAAAAGCATAATATAATAACATTTCTGCAATTTTTAAAGTAGGTATATTATATTTATTTATTACAACGGGCTTTTTTCACACGGCAGAGCCATGCTGCAGCTATATTATGTATAAATAAATTCTACCGAAGTCTACTGCTGAACATTTATCATCATCATCATCATCATTACAGCTTTCACAAGTCCACTGCCAACCATGGGCCTCCCCCAAAAATGAAGATATCCATAGTAGAACTACGGAATCGACATAACCCAACGGATTAGTAAGCTGAAGTGGCAATGGGCCGGCCATATAGCTCGAAGAACCGACAACCGATGGGGAAGAAAGGTTACCGAGCAACCTTGTACCCGTGAGTGAACTGTAGGATGCCCCCCTCCCCCTCTAGATGGAGTGACCACCTGGTAAGATATGCAGGAATTCGTTGGATGCAGAATGCTTTGCTGGACATAGGCCTTCCCAAATATCGCCTCATAAGGTGGATACTACCATGGCGGCTACGAATAGCAACCCATCTCCTGTGTTGTTGCCTTTGTCGCCTCCGACGACACCTGCGATATGGGGTAGTGGATATTCTTACACTGGCACAACGCAGTATAATATAAGTAAGCAATTTGAAATATACCAAAAGTAATGATACTTTTGGTATATTTCAAAGTCACCTCTTACAACACCCATGGCAAGTGAGGTAATGTGTTCTTTTACTTTGTCCCCATGCAGCAACAATTGGCTATATTTCATATAAATAGAAACAGAAACAGAAACTTTTTTATTCAATATAGATTATAAATAATACTTATTGTAAGTCACTCTTTTGTATAATTACCACTGGTTCGAAAAAAAACCTCTGTCCTGGGAAGAACCAGCAAGAAACCCAGCGGGACTTTTTTTTTAAATAACAGCTTACAATCATGTATGTGACACAAATTAACAATACAACAAATTAGAAATAGCTTGGTAGCGATCACCTCATTTCTAGGGGTTATTATCATCTATAAATTCTTTAATATTATAATAACCCTTTTTATAAAAACTTAGTTTAATAAAGTTTTTGTAACCAAACCCGAATGTAACCAAGTTTCAGTAAAACAGATTATATCATACTCATGACATAAGACGTTTGTGAAAAGCAAGTCAAAAAAAAGTCAAAATTAGTAATTATAAATAATTTACTTGGTCGTAGGTGTATTTTTTGTGAATGAACCCTTCTAACAAATGAATTAACAGCCCACCTGATGGTAAGTGGCTACTGTAGTCCACAGACACCTGCAACCATCTTTGGACGAAGAAGGGTTCAGATAAATTGTCACTTGTAAGGACTAAAATGGAATAACTTACAGATAATAATTATACTGGTTCTCTATACCTTTTAAACCGAAACACAGCTGTACGTCAACTGTTCTGACTGGAAAAAACTGGGTAAGACATTGACGCCAACCTAGATGGACTTCTATGCAGAAAAATAGCCATACTAATGAGTAAAACGCAATATTATATAGGCGTTAGATACATTTTTAAACCTCTCAGAAATGAAAGAAGCCCTGTGCCCAGCTGTGTGGCGGTATATAGGCTGTAACTTTAACTATTCTATTTTAATTTTATTTATTAGATTTTTTTTTCAAGCGTCACCTTACTTCATCATCTTGGAAAGTAAAATATTATCTAACGTTTTATACCCAGAAGAGCAATGCTGCAGCTATATTATGGTTGTAGTTGTAGCTAGAATGGGTTAGCTCGATCGGCAAGGACCACGGAATACCAGCGGAAAACAACAGTTTTATGTTGCTGTGATTCGTATGGTGAGTGTAAAGATCCTAAGATCGAAGACACTCTTTTTACCGGAAACAAGGTATTTCATCTTATTCCTCA